CACACACACACACACACACACACACACACACACACACACACACACACCCACACCCACCCACACACACACACACACACTCACTCACTCACGCCGCTCCCCGCCAGCAGCCGCCTCCCTTGAAAGGCGATCTCCCGCTGTTTCTCCCTCGCCGCTCTTTCCTCGGCTCTGGGATTCCCAACCTCCTGTAAACTGCACCTGGCCACCCTGAACGCAGCGGACCTTCTAACAGTCAAGTGGGTGCGGGATGGCACGGGAGAGGGGCGTGAGACGAGGGGGAAATGCCAGCCAGGCCAAGCGGGGCACATCACCACCCAGTTCCATGCCACTCCACCCGGCGTTCAAGCTCCCACCCCGGAGCTTGAATCAAGTCATGTTTTTAGTGCGTTCACATGGGCCAAGGGCCTGCTGGGATCCTAAAATGGAAGGGAAAGTTTGCAGAGACTTTAAAGCTTTCCCGAGGAGCTCCTGCCTAAGGCGTCGGTGTGCAGCCCAAGCCCCCTTGCTGCGGGCCCCGACCCTGGCACTCACGACCCGCCTGGCGGTCGCTGCCCGGGTCCCAAGTGCCCTCCGAGCCCCAAGCTCTCGGAGCCGCGCTCCCAGAGTCGCGCAGGGGCTCGGGAACAGAATCCATCAAGAAGCCTCTAGTCCACCACAAAGCACACCCGAGCAGTTCCAAGGGAAGGGGGCCCAGAGCGCCCCAGGAGATATCTTTCCACAACCTTCTGCGGAGACCCGGGGTCGCCTCGTCTCCAGGGACGAAGCCAGCAGTCCCCTTACACTTGACTTTCTTGTTGCGGTGGGGAGGATATAGGAAGCTACTGGAGGTGCCGGAGCCGCCCCCCCCCCCCAACCCCCAAAGTGCCCTGGGCTCTGAGCAAAGACCCGTCCTCACAAGCACGCGGTCCAGGCCAGGACCCTGTGCACGGTAGGACGCAGGGGGCCACGGCGTTCTAATCTGGACTCCTGGCCGCTTCCGCGGCGGCCCGCTGGAGTTTCTCCCACGGAGGTCGGCCCAGCAGCGGGCCACCGGCGTCTCGCCTCCCGCCCTGACATGCAGACTTGGGGGGGCGCTGCACACAGCAACCGATCCGGAGCGCAAAATCTGCGTGCCGCGTGGGAGACGCGCGCGGGAGGGGCCGGGTTGGGCTCGCGTTTTTCCTTTTCAGAAGCTTTCGAGTTGACTGCGAAGTTTTCTGGTAGGCGCCTGTGCCCTGGGGTCGGAGCCTCCCACCGCCGCTCCTTCCCCTCCCTCCTCCCCGCCCCCCCCACCCCCCCCGCCGCCAGCCCAGCTCGCCGGAGCCTCAGTCCAGGCCTGGCCGCGCTCTAGGTCCCGCAGGCGAGGTCCCCCAGGCCCGGACCCCGCGCCCGAGCGCCGCGCCGGCCTGCCCGCAGTCCTCCCCGGGCTCCGCGAGGGTGCCTCTCCCCGGGGCGAAACTCGCCGGCCGGACGCACTGCAAGGAGACACCCGCTGCCTCCCGAGGAACTCCTAATACCATCCATACAGCTTTAATGCGTTTATAATTCGATAAGTGATTTCAATTTGAAATTGTTAGTAACTAATTTTATGGGTAATTTTTCCACATCAAATATTTAAGCATCAGATTAAGGGAGCCAGTTCCGACACAGGATAATAAGGGGGTTCCCCCCACCCCCCGCGCCTCCGCCTCCCTCCGTTTCCTACCGAGTCGTTTTTCCAAATCCCCAAAAGATGGCAGTCGAAGCCGACATTCTTCTTTTCCTGCGGCTCTGCGAGGGGAGGGAGGGGGAGTGGGAGGGAGGAGGGAAGGGGAGGGAGAGAGACGAAGAGAGAGAGAAGAAAAGGAGAGGGAGAAACTAGACGTTGCAAAGACTTTTCAGACTAATTCTTTCACATGTTTCTAACACAAGCAAGAAACAGTGGTGCATTTCCTGGAAATGTCCTGGCAGGAAGGAAAGCCCAAAAACGTGCCTTGGGGCCTCAGAGTAGGCGACGTTAGAAACTCAGCACTTTCAAACGGAAGCCTCAACTCAGAGCAGAAGCGAGAGAAGGGAGACATACAAATGTCTTTGTATTTTAACATCACATTCAAATACTACACCCCTAAGCAACTGGTTTTCCGGGGGACGGGACTCGGCAAATTACTTAATGGGGAGAGAAGAAGTGGGGTAGGGAAAGGTGCTGGGTGGGGGGCGGACTGCCGTGGGCGGAGGGGAGGCTGGGGCCGGCAGCGGATGAATTGCAGACCAGTTGCCAAAACTTTTTTTTTCTCTCTCTCTCTCTGCTGCTGCCGCCGCCGCCGCCGCCGCCGCCGCCTTTGCTGCTGCCTTTGCTGCTGCCTTTGCTTTGAATGTGGGTAACTAGGAAACAGCAAGCCGTCTGAGAAGACGGAATTTCCAACGTGTAAAATGTTCTTAACGGAACCATTGAGCGAGTGCAATAAGGCGTGAGGGGGAACTAATCTTCCCATTTAAATGTTTGTGGCAATTTTATCTAAATGAATTTTAATGCTAAACGAGGGTAATTCCCCATTTGTAGCGCGTTTACTTCTCTTTCCTGTGCTTCTAAAGCAGTCGAACATCATGCAATGAACAATAACAATAAAAATACTGTCAAGGCATATTATTCATTTCGAATGTGTTATAATTACAGCTGATTAAATATGATAGGGTAAAATATTTTTAGTTTTCTTTAAAAAAATATTTAAATCATACTAAAAAGTCTCATTCAACCAGCACCCCCCCCCCCAATAAAAATAAAAAGCAGGTACAATTGTGTGCCCTTGTTTAGAAGAGGGCGTTTTGTTTTTGCCTTTTAAGAAACATCAAAAACACCCTCAGCACCTCTATTCTTTCTTTCTTTCAGATAAGTGTCCTCCATAACCTCCGAGCTGGCTCTGAAATTTACAAGAGGAAAGCTAACATCGCATTAAGGGGGAGTGGGGGTGTCCAGGCAAGGGGAGAAAAAGGATCTGCGGAGAGCAAGGCCCTCACAAAACCGCCACACAGAGCAGGGAACACGGGGAAAGAACACAGTTTGTTTTATTTTTTCTAATTCACTGGACACTAATGGTCGCGATTCTTCATAGTCTCCATATTCCCTGATTCTTCTTCACTGGTACCCTACTCCTTCTCCTAGTGCCCGCCTCTCTCCACTCCCCCCTTCCCATCTCTCTCTCTCTCCCTCTCTGTCTCCCTCCCTCCCTCCCTCCTCCCCTTTCTTTCCCTCCCCCAACCAGCGAGAGCACCGTCGAGAAGAAAGGCTGAAAATAACCTACTCACCCAAGCTTGTACTGGGGAGGAGGGGCAAATGGATGGGTAGTTTATAAAGTTTATTATTAATTTTTAAAGTAAATAAATGGTTGTTCACCGCCACTAACCAGCTCTCAAAAGAGAATTATTTCACTAAATATGGAGTATTTATGTCGCCGAAGAATTGCCACTGGGTCCAAATAAGAAATTTAAACAATCCCACACTTGGGGTGGGGGCGGGGTGGGGCGGAGGGCGCTGCGCGCGAAGGCTGCTGCTGCTGCTGCTGGTGGAGCTTCTCTCGGTCTGCGCATCCACGTGTTTAGAAACAAGGCCCAATAAACAAAAGGTGAGAATGCGCGGGGCTGCTCCAGCAGGTGAGTCAGTCAATCACACGTCACCTAGTAAACCCAACCCACAGCTGGTTTCTCTTTTCAAATAGAAAATAGAATTGTTCGGGGCGGGTTTATAGGGTGACATGGGCCTGAACGTCAGCCTTGAGTTTAAGGCTCTCTCCTCTGACCCATCCTTTGTTTACAAAGCCATCACTCCTAAAAGGATGATTTTTTTTTTTTTTTACAGAGAAATTGCCTTAATTAAAATATTTGTATATTTTCTTTAGCTTTGGGAAGCACTTTTTATAGCAGCGATTTTATTTAAATAAAATTATAAGCCATTCCAGCTTAAACATGTTATTTTGTACCATTTAGCTGGCTGCCACGCAGATATTCTGTACAGCTGTTCTGGAAAATTGGTTAATAACCAGTTTTATCCAATGAGACCATAGAGCATATTTATAAAAATTAGATTTTGAAGTCTGGTCTCTTCAATTCACATAGTTAATTTCCTAATAAGCATATACTGCTCATCCTAGGTAATGTTCTTAGTAAAAGACTTACCTCTGTACTTAGGTTTACCATTATGTGCAGGAATAATGTCACCGATACTAGGTGAGTAATTCTGTTGGATGCAATCTGAGTCTAGAGTTAGTTTAGTGCCCTTAGGCCTTAAATTTGCTGATATTAGGAATTCATTAAACCAGCTTAAAGAAATCAGTGACTATTATCAAATAATTTACTTTGTGGTTAAAATTTTCAAGTACATATACGTCTTAGGGAGCTCAAATTAATTTTCCTCTTTACTGCACTGATCACTGAAAATTTGGGGGGGGCAGTAAACAAATTTTTCAAGCAGTGGAGTCAGCATGACAAAAATAATCTTGTTTTTATTTTAGATTCAGATTTCATTACTGCACTCAAACGTTACTACAACTGGGCTTGGCGTTATTATACAATCCAAACTGTTTCCGTCAGAAACGCTAAGACTCAGTGTGCAATGATTGTTATTAATAATTAGCTCCTTGGTTTCTTGATAGAAAAAGGCTATCAACAAGCATTTGTTTATCCACAACAAAAAGTATAATTAGCTTATCCCACTTAGTAAATCTTGTATGCATGCCAACTCATACCAAACTGCTACTTTTACAAAAAAAATTGCAATAATACAGTTCATTTTTCCAGTCCTTTTTGCACAAAATTTATTTACAATGTCTACATAAATGCTCCAAGGTGGGACTATGGAAAAATACACACATGACCGATGCTTTGCTCAGAAATAAAGTCAACATATTAAAAATAAATCTTCAGTCTATGTTTTTGAGCTGCATAAAACAGGAAGTGATGTATAAGGTGGTGGTTGTTGCATGGGGACAATGATGCTTGATGTGACAATTAGGCTTCTAAACACACGGCCTTTAGGTTTCCATGCCTCCTCC